ACCCTAAGGCTCAAAATAGCCCAAAGCCTTACATGGTACGGTCTTTGGGCCCAAACGCCTCAAAAGATACGTCCTTAGAGCCGTAGGGTTACAGGCTATAGCATCCATGACGTGGGACCAATGGCTTGAAGGTGTGGGTTTCCTGGAGTGCAGGGCCTACGTGGAGGGTAAGGGGACTGAGTAGTAGGACCGAGTAGTAAGGTTATAAGTGTCTTGATGGGGGGTGATAAGTGTGTATAACTATAGTTACCTTATTTGTAATCCTAGTTACTAAGCCCCACGATCCTTCAAGCAGGGGCACTGCCTGAGACATGCTGGTGTTGGAATGCTCAGTGTGTATGTTCTCCTTCGCATGCTCTTGCTGCCGCCGTTGCCGCCTCGAAGTTTTCAAACCATCCCAAAAGAAACACAGCCAACCGTACCGAACATGACCTTCTCCAAGATCTTGCTGCTTGGTCGCAGATTCTGATCGCAACTAACGGATGCGAAGGGTGGGCGTCGGGTAGGGCCGCTGTGTTGCAGTAGGTGTTGGGCATTGTTGGATGTTGATCGGTCTTGTGTGTGATGCCTAAGTCAGAGCCTGAGGATGCAATGGGTGCAACAAGAACGTTCATGGATGTTGTGCCACCGTTTGTTCATGTGCGCACGACAGCAAGCAGCATGGTCTTTGATTCATCATTTCGCCCGACGATGTGCTGCCGGTCTTACAGCACGCCTGACAGGAAGGAGCAACCTCATCAGATCGGTTCGGTTCTAGGGCCTCTATATGACGAATGAGGGGCTCGGGGGCGCATTCGAAAGGAGCCTGAAGGCCCAGATCCCCACTCCAGAGCCCTTGTCTGACAAATGAAAACCCTCATCCAAAGCACATACTATAGGGGCCTCACCTATACTATCTCGGGGTTCCTTCTTATAATTATAAATATAGTATAATAAGGCCCCTAGAACAGCTTGAACTTATCAAGTTCCCCTTGTAAGCCTCTGTCTTCTTATCGTTCACGGCCTCGATGTGAGTCTTAGCCACCGGACGAAGAAGGAGCCCCACGATCATTCCACCAACCCCTACTTCCCCTGCGATTTTGAAGCCAAAGTCAGGGCTTTGCAATTATTCTTCAAGCCAAATCCCTGGATGCCGCTAGCACTTAGGTCAACCATAGACACTAAGCCCTACTTGGGGTTCATGGGTGGCTAGAAGTCGGGTTATAAGTGAGGTATCTATAATTATAACCCATCTCAGGGGGCTTGTAACCCCACTTGGAACTACCCTAAACCTTTAACCCTAAACCCCACAGAACCCTTCAAGGAACCCTACCTGCACTTATAACTACCCATGAACCTCCAAGTAAATGGGTGGTTCTCCGAACTAGGGTCCCTTTTTAGGTACCCCAAATAGTATGGCACCCTTATAAAATGGACCCTAAAAGGGACCCTAATTTTGAGAACTACCCAAATGGAGATCACGAGAGGCTTGCTTGCGCCGGCGTGGCCCTGGCGGCCGACATGCCTGAGCACTGCCACTGCCTTAGGGGGCCTCCTTTAGGATTCAGGGTTTAGGATTTAGGGTTCAGGGCTCAGAGCTCCTTTAGGGTTCAGGGTTCGGGGGTTTACCTGTGGCCGAAAAAACCTACCTTTTTCGGGTTCCTTATTCTGGTTTCTGTATATGGTTCCTTAAAAGAGCAGGTCTTTTGGGCCACAGGTAACAGGGTTCAGGTAAACCGCATCCGACCCGCCCGAGGAGGCCAACAAATAAGTACATGGGAATCCTACCACTTCAGGGTTCAGGGGGCTTCAGGCTGATTTTCAAATAGCTTTAGGTCCCAAAAAGAGAAGTGTAGGTAGCAATAACCGTAGTCCTTGCAACAGCCCATAAAACATGGGATGTGACAGTCTGAACAGCTCTCAGAGTGATCTGTGAACCTTCGTTTTGCATCGAGCTGCATGCTTTAGCTCCTTGCCACCTTGCCGATGCAATGAAGTACGGAGGGAATCCTCAAAATCCGTTCGCGCTGGACTGCTGAATCCTATGCCCCAGTTTCAGCGGGCGTTCTGAAAAAAATTGCATTTCAGGCTACACTCAACTGAAACCACACGCAAAACCTCTCCCGGTGCGTTTTTGCTGAGGCAAGATCCTCAAGCCTCTGCCAGAGAAGGCAGAGATTTGCGAGCCGACAGCTCAAGTCCTTGGAGATCTTGACCCAAGCCGACCAGCGAGCAAGAAGTGTTGGCTTTGGGTGTTAGGCTTTTGGGGGTCTAGCGAGTTGCGTCCTGCATCTTGGGGGCGTGCTTCCGTTTATCAGGAAAGCCCTAAGCCCTAAGACCTACGAGAGGGTTGAGGTCAGGGCTTTGACTCTAGACAATAAGCCTAAGTCCTGAAACGGGTTTAGGTGGTTTCATAGGGCTTTTCAGGCAGCGACTTGCAAGAGCGGTATACGGTTGTGGGGCCTAGAGTTGAGTTTTGGCGGGGGAATTTCAAGTTGGAGGTTTGAGCTGTGGATTTCGTGTTCCGGGCACAGAAAGTGATTTAGGATCCGGGCTTCGGGCTGTGAGGTTCGAGGTTCGTTTCCCTGAACCTAGGGACAGTTGGGACAGGTTGAAGGCGTGCATTGTGTTCTAACATTTTTTGTTTGCTTTCCAAGAAAGTAGGCAGAGCTACGCTAGGCAAGCATTCTTCTTCCTATCAGTACCGAGATGGCAAAACGGCCAACAGAGAGCGTTCGAGCTTATGGCAATCTGGCAGATGTCTCTGACCAACACTTCCTACCGATACCATTGATCTTGCAAGGACGAACCTCGCGTTAAGCGCAGTTCAGGAGCAGCTCTTCGGAAGGCCATTGCGTGTGGGTTTGAAGCATTGTCCCCAAAACCCTAAACCCTAAACGCTAAACCCTAGACCCTAAACCCTAAACCCTGAATTGTGCCCAAACTCCTGCACCCCGAAGCCTAAGCCGAGGCTCCCACTGCGTGGTGTACAGCGTCATGGAGAACAAGAGCCTCGATCCACACAGACAAGAATAGAACATAATATAGTATAATACAATATAATATAGTAATATAGTATAATATAATGTAATGTAATGTAATTTAATATACAATAATATACCGTGAAGTTTTTCTGGCTTTGATGTCTGGAGGGTTTTGAGCCCTGAACCGGGATCTCCGCAATGCGCCTGGGCCTGCCGAACCTGCTCTTCACAGGATCCTCATACAAGCGTGAGTAGTCGTGTTGAAACTTGAGCTGTGCGAGCAAGCAGGTTCTAGCAGGCTAGCGGCTTCGTGATACCTCCTGGCTACTGGGACGATGTTCGAGAAGCTTCCCAAACACCCTCGTCTTCGCATTAGTGCTTATGGCTGGGGAAGTGCCACATTAGAACAAGCTACTAGTAGCAAGCGTGGGAAAGACTTAGGGCCTTAGGCCCGAGGATTGAAGTCTTTCCGAGCCTGCTGTTTTGAACTGCCTGGGCCTGGAACCCGAAATCTTGGAAACAGGAACGAGTGTGGTGTGTCCCTGGCGTTAAGGCCCGAGGCATCAGGTGCTTGGTCGGCTACTGCATTAGGTGGCATAGTTTAGTCTGCGGTAACTTAACCCTCTCTGCTTCACCCTGGTCCGCTTGAAATGAGACATCTCTACTTAAACAGAGACGCACCCCTTAAGTTTTGACGCCTGAGCTTGAAAGTCTCAAACCCTCTTGCATGTCCCTCCTCCTATCCGTTGCCCGGACAAGGAAGAGTTGCAACGAGTTCTGCACCGAGCAGGGCGCCAAATGCGCCAAGGCCGTGGATGACCTCCGTACCATGGCCGATCTAGGGGCTTAGGGTTATTAGGGGAAGGGTTTAGGGTTTAGGGGATCTGGTGTGCATTAAACCTACACCATAAACCATAAGCCCTATAGAAAACTATTCGCCTAACGGGCCGAGAAATGAAGATTGAGCTGCTGCCCTCAGAACGCTTTCTTCTGATTCTTCCCTTGATTCTTCATTCATTCGTCCGAAAGATGCTAAAACACCTACCCCCTTTCAGCGAATGTTCAAACTGAATTTGGGCCAGGAACGCTTAACATTTGATCTGGTGTGGGTCCAGTAGCCTCACATCCCAAAGCAACAAGCCCTCATAATTTGGAACAAGATCTTGCAGAGAAAGTCCAGATTAGAGAAAAGTTATCTCCACGCAGCCTCTGCTGGTTGCAACCCCAAGTCCGTAGAATTAGTTACTTAAAACTTGATTTAGGCGGCATAAAGCCCTAGTTGAAACCGCCCAACCCTGTAATCCGAAACCCCAACTCCCCCCCCCCCCCC